CAGCTTCCAGGATTCGATCCAGACAGGAAGGGCGGGAAGGATAGGCAAGAGCAGGAGCCCTGTCGGGGACCAAAGCCACAACCTGAGGCCGGTCAGTGCACAAGCCCCCGGACCTGCGAGCCAGGGTGCACAGAGGGACCCTAGGCCAGATGCCACGGGCCCTGTTCCGTGAGGACCCACATCCCTCAGGGGGGTGGAGAAGAGATACACAGCGTCTCCTGGGGCTGGGGGTAGAGTTTCGAACCACCGCAGGGTGAAATGATTAGCACATCAAGTATGGGATCCAGAACCTAGAACCACAGGATATTTGGGTTCGTTTTTCTCCTCGTGCTAGAAGAGATCTGAGAGAAGGGAGGTGAAGAAATGCCAAGGTTCCGGGCAGAGAAAGCAGGACAGACTGAGGGTAGACACCAGGTAGGGGCATCTGACCATCCAAGTGACAGCATCGTGGCATGAACTCCCAAAGGACCGGAATGTAGAAAGACCTGCCCAGACTGGTGAGGCCCAATCAGAGGGGCCCAGCTTCCCTGAGTTTGACGGCCCTTCCTTCTAGCAAAAGATTTTCCGTGGTGGCTATACCTGTAGTATATGTTGATGATAAGGCCGTGATAAGTTTAAAAATGCTTTTCAATGACTTTGTGTCTCATTTATTGCAAATCCTCTGCGGGCATTGAAAAGGTACACATACAAGGCAGCACCATCTCTGAAGCCTTCCGGCCCGCCTCTAACAAACAAGCAAACAAACACATCAAAAGTTGAACGGAACCTATTCAGACTTTAGAGACAGGAAATAAGGGAATCACGGGCACAAAAAAGCCACAGGTGGGCATGGAGGGATAGACTCTAGATTTAAAAAAAATTAAGAGACATAACAACCAAATGTCAGAGGCGGATCTTGTCTGAGTCCTGAGGAGACAAACCATCTGTAAACAGACAACTTTGAAACTGTCATAGACATTTGATTAGAATGGAAACATTAATTTCAGTAGTTGAGACGATCACACAGTGGTTATGTAAGAAAAGGTCCACGTGAGGGGCGCCTGGGTGGAGCGTCAGACTTCAGCCCAGGTCATGATCTCACGGTTTGTGGGTTCGAGCCCCACGTTGGGCTTTGCATTGACAGTATGGAGCCTGCTCTGGATTCTCTATCTCCCTCGCTCTCTGCCCCCTCCCACTCATTCTCTTTCTCTGTCTCTGTCTCTGTCTCTCTGAAAAGTAAACATAAAAAAATTTTTTTTAAACGTCCATGTGTTTCCAACAGCGGCGCACTGATAAATGTTGAACCGCCGACTCTCTGGGGTGGAGAACTGTAGGGGAGCCCCGTTTTGTAGCGTTTGCTGATTTCTGGGGTGTAGATCTCCCACGTGGCAGATTTCAGGCTACCGGCATGACATCACGGAACGCGGAATTGAAAAGAGATGCCCACGATCGGCTCTGAGCAGACAGAACCAGCCGGCCCCAGCACGCCGCTGGCTTTAGAGACCTACACTGAGGTGTTCAGGTGACGCGATAAGATAGCTGCAATGTGTTTTGAAATAACTCAGTAAAGAAAAAGAGAAACAAAAAAAGAGTAGACGAAGCAGATGGAACCAAGTTTTGGTAACTGTTGAGTCTGGATGATGCATACCCGGGGGTTTACTATACTATTACTTTCTTCCATTGTATATATTTAAACATTTTCATAATAAATAAAAATGTTAAGCTACGATCATCTTATATGTAGGCAAGAGAGGTTTATTCCCAGAATTCTAGGTGTGCGCATTGATTCCTGGACCCCGACCCTAACTCCACAGCCCCCGGGGTCTGAAGATAAAGGGTGGGACGCATAGGCATTGACGCCACATGCCTAAGTCCTTCTATCAGGTCATAACTAGGGTTTCTCCATAGACCCAGAGCTTGGCTGGGGTGGAAAGAGAGCCCCAAAAGAGGAAAGTGACAGAGGTCCTCACTGGGAGTCCTGGCTGTATCATCGTCTAACACCGTGACCTTGGTAACTCATCCCAACTCTCTTGAGCCTCTATTTCCTCGCTGGCCAAATAAGGGTGTTCATAACTTATGGTAAGGATTCAATGCACTACGTAGGGGGTTGCAGGGACATGAATGAGCCATTAAAGATGTACAGAGGTCACCCTTCTTCACCAGAGAATGTGGGTACCCCTGTTGCCAAACCTCCCCACTTTTCAAGAGAAGCTGGGGATCCCAATCTACGAAACCTCCCAATCTTGACATGTTGTCAACAGATTACATACACTTGGTCCCAGTGGCGGACCAAGCAAAACACCTGCAGATCATTCGAGTGTGTCTTTGGGCTTAAACCAGGGAGCAGGATGAAGCGCCTTACTCGACACTCAGCGAAGCTGAGCCCCAGGCTTAGAATTCCTCACACACGTCCCATTGATTCTTCACAGGATCTCTTATGACTCCCACTGCACAGATGAAGAAACTGAGGCTCGGATTGGGGAAGAGATCTGGCAGGGCTGGGAGCACATACAGGCTTCCCGAGAACCTGACGGTCCACTTTACCCCCTCTCTAGATTCCTAGAAGGGAATTTAGGGAGCAAATGGCAGGCCCAGAGAGGGGCAGGGAGGTGCCGGGGGCCCCACAAACGCGCGTGGCTGGCTGAGACTGATCAGGCATCCTGCCCCTTCTTGGTCAGGGCACCATGTGGACAGCTCAGAGGAGACAGCTGTGTAGATCCGTCTAGCCAAGCTCGAGCTGGTGCAGGCCATGGGGTCAGCAGAGGAACCCTCTGCTTTTTACCTCCCTGATCAATGCATGCATAGGTTTAAAAATGTGCTAGACCCCAAGACGAGGCCCTCAGTTTTTCCACCTCGAAAATCTGGGGAGCTGGACTGGAAATCCTACTCACCTGTTGACCAGACACTCTGTTACTGGATGCTTCTAAGATCGGGCTGGAGAACAGCCAACCACGTTGCTTCAGACCCATTCACCGAGACCTGGCAATACTTTAGACGTGCTGTATGTGATTCTTCCTGATTAAAAACTTGGCCAGGTTTCCCTTCCTTGGAGAATTTTCTAGTAAGGAAAGATAACTCACTCCAAAACCGGACCACATGGAGAGTTAAAGAATTGTTCTCTTCAACCAAAGAAAAGGAAACGCCTAAGGTGTAGTCAGTGGGCGATTCCATCCCCAGATCACCTGGGTCCAAACCCTGGCTGCGCCACTTCCTAACCGTGGAACTGTAGGGAGTCCGTCGGATCCCTCTGTGCCTCGGTTTCTCCATATGTAACACAAGAGTGCCTCCGTCATAGGGTTGTTGATACATCTTCAAGCACTTTAGGCAGCCCCTGGGCCTCACCACCCATAAATGGGAATAGCGGTTTCTACATCCAAGGCTGTGGCCACAATTAAATGAGTTACTACTATAAGCAAAGCCTCTGTGGCACAGTGGCTGTCATATCAGAAGCACCAGATACATGTTCACTATTATTATCACGTGCGATTATACATGAAAGAGCTATATTGATGATTGAACTTTCTCAGTCACTTGTATGTAAATCCTCACCACTGGGCTGTTCTTAGAAGAGCATTTCCTCAAAGAGACTTTCACATTAAGACTTTCCACTGACTCAGACCAGAGGACTCCTCCTCTCCCTTATCACAGTCAGGGCGGGCCTTTCTGGCCATGGGCCTCCGTTCCCACCCTCCCCGGCTCAGCTCCTTCCAGCTCCTAGGACTCATACTCACTGCTTCGTGCGCGTCTCCCGGCAGCCCCAGGAGAAGGTGAGGCGGGTAATGTTGTCCCCGCCTGACAGACACAGACACTGGGGGGTGCCAGCCACTCCCCCAACGGTCAGGGGGCATGCGCTGCAGGACAGAGACTCAAGCCCAAACACCTGAGCCCAGGCACACGACGTGGCTCTGGAGCCCTGGGTCCGCCACTTTCCTTGGGCAGGTCATTTACTTCTCTAACTGCCATTTCCTCACCTGTAAAATGGGGAAATAGCAGCACCTACTTCCTAGATTTGCTCTAAAGCACTTAGAACGATGAGGTAGATGAGCACTCAACATTTTAGCAGAACAAGGCATTCTAGTTTGCCAGGCACGGTCCTGCTTCCTGTTAGAGTCTTGAGCACTCTTAAAAATGTCTGGGTTTGGAAGGAACACATATGACCAACCCTAAAATAGTTTGTCTGTTGCTGTTTATAGAACAATAATTATTCTTTTTTAATGTTTATTTATTTGAGAGAGAGAGAGAGTGTGTGTGTGTGTGTGTGTGCAGGTAAGGGGCAGAGAAAGAGGGAGAGAGAGAAAATCCCAAGCAGGCTCTGTGCCCTCAGCACAGAGACTGACACAAGGCTCAGTCTCACGAATCGTGAGATCACGACCTGAGCGGAGATCAAGAGGCAGACACTTAACCGACTGAGCCCCCCAGGCACCCCAGCAATAATTACTTATTCCTATTTCCCACCCTACCACGCTGAGACTTCAGGAAGCACTTCTGTTGGCTCAAAATGGTTCAGTAATTCAGTTCCGCCCTTAGGTAAGAGTGGATCCTGCCCTGGGGACCCTGAAACTCTGGTCCTCCGGCCAAGCTCTCATCACAGGGAGAAGAGATCAGGGGCCCAAAGAATATGCCCACGTGGAGCCTGTGCCCCCTTCTCTAGATCATACTCTAGGTACCCAGGCCTTTGGGATTCCCTGCCCAGACAGCCCCAAGCCCACTCCAGCACCTGGGTGGGTCTCTTCCCCAGGTCCACCCCGTGAGGACAGACCCCCACCACAGGCACGCCCAGCCCCCTGGGCCTGAGGGGTGGCCAAGGAGCAGCTCTCTGCAGGGAGAGGAGGTGTGGCCTGGGCTTGCACGTGCAGGCTGAGCTGTTCACATGTGCGGGGCAGACCAAAGGCAGATGTGGGAAAGAAGGGGTCTCCTCTCCCTGCACCACCGTGCCCCTCACAGGGTCCGAGGAGTCTGAGAATTCTCCATTCAAAGCTGGCCTTCCAGGTTGCTAGGGAAGTGTACTTGTCAAGGTAGGAGAATAGGACATATTTTATTCCACATTTTGTTAGCTTGATTTATAACTTGCAAATATTTAGACATATGGTATGTGAGCCTTCATCTGTACTCCTGCTCAGCCCCACAAATCCCCGCCACCTTCTGCCTACTCTCAGCACCAAATGTTTACCGAGCCCGTCCTTGTGCTGAGCCCCAGAGACTCCATGGAGTGGAGGGCACCAGTCCCAGCATCCAAACAGGACCATCCACGTGACAGCAAGCCTCACGCTCCTAAAACAGTAAGAGCACAGGGTCAGAGGGGAAGGCGTAGGCCTGGTCTGTGGCTCTGTCCCCAGCTCCTAGCGATGCGATTTTTCTCTGGGCCTTGGTTCTCCCATTTGGACAAGAAGTCCTCCCAGCTCTCAGTAACCGTGGGACGCAAGCTGAGGCAGGGTGAGAGACACAGAATCAGATGCGAGACCTAGAGAGGGCATGAGCTACAGATGGGCGAGTAAGGCTTACGAGTTAGCGTGCTGTGGAACTGAGCACTCTGCCCCAGCAAGGTACAGGCTGCAGCCCATGCCCCTTCATTCATTCATTCCACGAACGCTTCAGCCACCCACTCTGTGCCGGGCACTGAGCTGTCTGAATCTGCCAGATAGGAGAGGATGAATCAAACAAGCGCACAGAAAACCAAAGCGCAAAGCAAGACTTGGCGAGTGTGCTCAAGAGAGACACCCACCCCCCACCCCCCACCCCCCACCCCGAGTTTCTCCTATCCTCGCAGTCTCCAGCTCTTCTTCTCTCACGATTTTCTCTCTCACCCTTCTTTCTCGGGTGAGAAAACAGAGGCCCACAGAGGTTAAGGGGCTTGGTCAAGACCCTGCCGCTTAGGGCGCGCCCAGAACTTGAGGCTAGCCAGAAACGAGGTTTCGGATTCCCGCAGTCTCCGGCCACTGTCGCAAGCTGCCCGAAGCTCGAGAGGCCCCGTCCAGCTCCCGGAAGGCTGGAGGGAGGTGAGCGCCAGGGAAAGGCTGGGCCAGAGGACGAACCGGCCGGGAGGCGGGGAGGGGCCTGGCGGGGGACGGCCGGGTGGCTCCGGACTCCCGGGTGCGCAGCCCCGGGCGCCCGGAGCGCAAGCGGCTGGGTGCGCGCCAGGGGCCGCCGCTCTCGGGTCGGTCCGCCGCGCTCGGGCTGGGGTCGGGCTCCGAGGCGCCGGCG